AGGTTCTAGAAACTTATCTTTAGAAGGTTCTAAGGACTATGTCTCTAATATCTTCTACCAACTAAGAAGCTTCTAAAAGATTCCAGAGACTTGCTGCTAGAAGGTTCTAGAAACTTGTCCCTAGAAGGTTTTAGAAACTTCTCTCTAGAAGATTCTAAGGATTATGTCCCTAACAGTTCTTTTAGTTGTTGTTGTTATAACTTGAGGTATTGTAGTCAATGGCACTGTAATCTGAGCAAGTGCATTCTAAGCCTCATTAATAGAAACTCTTGTAATTCTAAATGCATCATTGAAGCCATCAGGTGTTTCATCCGCGATCCATTTTAAATACAAAATCTTAGCAACTTCAGTGTCTTCCAAAGATGTCCTAGGATCGGGATTCTTTGTAAATGTTTCTGGTGCTTCAAATATGCGTACTTTATTTCTTTGTTGATTGGATACTCCTCCTTGAAGAGATGGAAATACAGTTTCTTCAAAACGACAATTTTGCAAACGTGCACGTAATAATGTGCCAGTTGATGGATCAACAATACGAATAATGCTTGGTGAATCAAAACCAACATACATGCCTTCTTGTTGATGAGCTCCAATGGTACGCCGTTGAGGTTCTGGTACTGGAATCCAAGCACGGCAACCAAATACTCGTAAGTGAGATACATTTGGAACATGACCCGAAATGAGCTCATGTGGTGAAACAATTTTAAGAGAAGAAGGGTGGAGGCGTATTAATGCTGCAACATGTAAAATTACATGACCCCACATAGATGCAAGTAGATTTGCGTGAAGGAGGAGTGGGCGCATAATGAGTTGTATATGCTTTATAAATGACTCTGCAAGTCCATTTTGAGCATGTTCATATAGAACACAATATGTCAATTCGATTTTTGTTGTAGTACAATAGTCTTTAAAAGACTTTGATGCAAATTCTTTTGCATTATCCATACGCAATGTTTTTATAGGATAATTAGGAAAATGTGCCCGAAAGCGAATAAGCATAGATATAAGATTGGCAAACACCATGTTTCGAGTTGATAATAATGAAACATGTGATTGTTTACCTGATGCATCAACAAGGACCAAAAAATAAGAAAATGGTCTTGATGCTGGATTAATAGGACCACAAATATCACCATGCAATCTTTCAAGCATTGGTGGTAATTCTTGTGGAAGTTTTCAAATTGAAGGCCGAGTAATCATTTTACCTTGCACGCATGTACGACATAATTCCATAGAGTCTACATCTGCAGGCTTTAAATTGTGTCCAGTTATACATGGAATGATCTTTCTAAATAATGTGGATCCTAGATGTTCCAATCGTCCATGTCAGAGAGAAATACGACTCTCTGAGATAGATGATGCAAAATTAAATATAATGGGAGGCCGAATCACAATTCGATATAAACCATTTTCTGTAGCAAAAGCTTTTTCAACAACTTTATGGTTCTTTGCAAGAACCAAAACTTCTTTTCTATTTAAAGTGGCGGTCGAGAAGTGATAACCATTAATACGCACATCTCGGTAGCTGATCAGACTCCGAGGTACTGAGGATGCAAACATCGCATGTTTACATTTTATGATGGAACCCGTAGGTAATTTTACCATTGCTGTGCCCTCTTGGAAACAAAACGCATTTGCTCCAGCCATGGTCATCATATTTTTAGTTTGCTAAGTTGAAGATTTTTTAATAAAAAATTGTCTATCTCGCAAGATAGTATATATTGTTGCAGAATCAATGAGCACATCATTTGATTCATCATTAGAGGTTGTATCAGTCATATAAGCCTCTAAGTCATCAACACCAATTGAATCCATGGACACATCCATGGTATGAACTTCACGAGCCTCAGCTCGTAATTTCTTATTTTCTTGGAATATTTTAATAAAATATTCTGAAGTATGGCATGCATATACTAAATGTCCAATCATTCCACACTTATGGCAAGAACGCATCTCTGATTTTTGTTTTCTACTATAATTAATAGTAGAACATTTATTCTTTCCATATGGATAGAAATGGTCTTGACTATGATTACCTTGATACTTATGAGCACGTTTTCCATGTTTATATAATTTCTTCTTAGACTTTGAAATATTAAGTGCATGATATTCAGGAATTGTAGTTCCAATAGGATGAGCTTCCGCATTGTGCAAGAGTAGTTCATTTTGCTTCTCTGCAAGAAGTAGATAGGACATGAGATCAGAATGACTCTGAAATTTCATGTTCCTGAATTGTTGTGCAAGCACAGCAGATGTAGGAGGAAATGTAGAGAGAGTTTTCTCAATCATTTCTTCTTCAGAAATACTTTGTCCACATAATCGTAATTGTGAGACAATACTATACATTTCACTATTGAAAGCATTTAAATTTGGAAAATCTAAGATACGTAAATATGTCCAATTATGACGTGCACGTGGAAGAAAAATGGTCTTTTGATGATCAAACCTAGATTTAAGATTCTTCCAAAGTTCTGCAAGGTCTTCCATTTCCAAATATTGATGTTGTAATGTGGGTACAAGATGATAACGAAGGAAAAGAAGTGCTTTCCAACGAATAGCAAGAGATATAGAAATACTTGTTGTAGGAGATTCTTCAAACATAATGGCATCCGAGAGTTGTTCTGCAAATAAATTTGCTTTTGTCATTTTTGCCCATAATAGATAATTGTTTTCATCCACAATCAATGGTGGAAATAAAAGAGCTTGAAAATGTTGGGATGCATTGGTAATAGTAGGAACCATAGTAGAAGCAGTTGAAGATGTTGAAGCACTCATTATAAATAAATCTATAAAGAAAATATAAGATCAAGTAGAAAAATTGAGTAAAACATACCTTACAATATAAAGTCAAATAAAATGATAAACTTGAACTTGAAAAAACTAAAATATATAAGAGGATGAACAGTACTTCTCCACTAGACTCTAAATACTGTAGCTATAGTAATTACTATAGTCTACAGTAAATATTATGGAGAGCGTAGGCTACATTTAATGATCTCAATAGAAAGGATGAAAAAACAAAGATGACCTGTTCTAAGATAATGCATGTCTTTTTGTTTTTTTATTTTTATTTTTACATTTGACTTTATGCTATTGTTTGTCACTGTGCTTAAAATTCTCAGTTTTGACCAAAGTAATATGTTATCAATAATGAAACAACATCAGAAATTTCATGACTGTCTGAGTCACACTACATTGATTTCTATAGCATTTTATTTAAGATAAATGACTACAATCATTGGGATTTCTGTAATACAAAATGCACTTTTGAATTGCTCACATTATATTGTTTCAACCCTCTTATCCAGTAATTGTTTGTGTCATTAAAATGCAGTACACCTTATTGTACAATAATGTAACAATACATAAATATTCAATTAGTTCCTGATGAAATAGATTTTTATACACATACTATGCATGATACATTTACAGCCGTTTGTCAATTTTGACCATGCAATTATGTTTTGTATGGATTCTTCTATATGAAATATTAGCTTATTTTTTTGGTAATTCTATAATCATGGGATGCACACTCTATCTCTCCTAATCAATACAAATCTATTCAAACAAGTCCAATTATTATTTTATGTTTTTGTCTTAGTTTCCCAAAATAGATATTATGACTATTTTATTTTACATGTTATTTCTCAAAACTCTTGATTATTTTATCTCAGTTTTTATTTTGTTTTATTTGTTTTGATACCTGTACATTTGATTTTACATCTACAATGATCATAGTTCTTAAGTTTGTCAAAAATTACATGTTTTTACACAAATTCTACAATTTTAAAATATATTCTTTGTGTCGTGCAAGTCTCAAGGACTTTAAATCATACATGGTTATGTAAGAAATTTTAGTATAATCAAGTCCCTGTATGCATGTAATTGTAGTGATTTTCATGTGGGACTATTTTCGTTTTGTACTTTTTAATTTTCCTTGGATGTTTTGAAAAACAAGAAAGTTCCATTTGCCCAAGCAAGACATGTTACTGTACGACCAAAACAAGAAAGTTCCATTTGCCCAAGCAAGACATGTTACTGTACGACCAAAACAAGAAAGTTCCATTTGCCCAAGCAAGACATAGACCCATCCCATGGAGGAGGGTTAGACCGCGGAATACGAAATAACCGTGGATTCGACCACGGTTTAAAGAGCGCATCGGAAAGGACGGTGATAGCCCACGACCGTGACACACGTCGCTTTCTGGCCCTGGCCTTCCACTGCTTCGAGGGATTCTCGTTCCTGCTCGTTGTTTCGCTTTTTCTGGCTCTCTTCCTGCTGATGATGACGATGATGAATCGACGGAGCCTCGAGATGCATCCTCTGCTACCCCTCTAAGGTATTTGCTGCGATCTCTTCCGAATTACCTCACAACAGGTGACAAATGCCCTTCATGGTTTCAACGGGAGCGTGAAAAGAAAGCTGGATGGAGGCCCGACGTTCATTCTTCCTGAAGCGGCGACTGATTGTGTCGACATGGTGGTGGTGATGGAGTATTTGGGTCAGTCGATCTATGTCTAGCAATTCGGAAACTGGGTTGGAGGGTTTTTGATGCTCGGAGAGTTGGGTTTGCGCTCGCTCGCAAATTGCGAGCTAGAATGTGCTTGGAGATTGGATCCCATGTCTTGCTGCGTCTGATGCTGTAGAGGAAAACCATATGGATCCAGATCGCTTCGGGAGATACCACTGGGGTCGATAAGCATGTTGGTTTGCGTGGACGTCGGAGTTGGGGGCATGGCGAAAGACGTGTTGACGATGAGGGGGCTGCGGGAAGGAGAAAACTGGTTGACCTAGGTTGCAGTTTGGGACTTCGGTGGTTTGGAATTGGGTGGTAGAATGGGTGGTGTGTACGGGTAATGCTTGTTTGGATGTTGTCGGGGTGGTTTATTGCAGGACATGATGGTTCGTTGTGGGAGATCGTGATCGAGTTTTGGTTGTCGTGGTTGGGGAGTTTGTGATTGCGCGTGATGTGTGAAGGTAGCGGTGCGGAGAGGATAGTAGGGTGGAGGTGCTTGCAATGAGGCATGGATGGTGGCCAACGGGTGTTTGACGGCGCGTGGTCTGCGTGGATGGCTGAGGGTGTGGGTGATTCTGGTGAAGAGAGCGTTGGAGGGAATCTGGTGTGAGGTGAGGTGGTCGGGAAGGCGGTTGCGGAGGTGGAGCATGTCGGGGCAGAGGGGGGGTGGGTCGTCAATGATGCCGCTGAAGAGCCTGATACGGGAGTTTCAGGAGATGAAGGGCGGGATAGGGAACATATCGCGGCGGAGTTTCGAGCTGAAGTTTCCGCACCACCACAAGGGGAGGTCGAGTGGGATGGTGCTGGACGAGTCGCAGCTGCGGGCGGAGCCAGTGGTGGAGCAGAGCTGCTGGGCGAACATGCCGCCGGAGCTGCTGCGGGATGTGATACAGAGAGTGGAGGCGAGCGAGAACGCGTGGCCGAGCCGGAAGCACGTGGTGGCGTGCGCAGCGGTGTGCAGCTCGTGGAGGGAGATAACGAAGGAGCTGGTGCGGACGCCGGAACAGTCAGGGCGGTTGACATTTCCGATCGCGTTGAAGCAGGTGTGTGAGAGAGAGAGGAATAGAGAGAGAGGAAGAAGGGTGTGAAGAATGAGGGATGATTGTGATAATTTGAGTGAACCATGCGGTAAATTTGGTTGTCGGTGCTTGCATATTTTCTAGTTTTGAAGGTTTTGTACATCCTGAAAAATTCTATTTTTGTTCATTAGTGTTATTCAATAAGGATTATCCTTATTATTGAGGCAGTTTGCAAGTCTTTCCTGTTCTTTGTTTGTGCTGGATTTGACGTGTGTTGTACTTCTTTATCCTTGTATTTGTTGTATTCACCCAAATGGTCTGCTGGTCGTTGCAGCCTGGACCCCGAGACAGTACTATGCAGTGCTTCATAAAGCGGGACAGGACGACTTCGACGTATCAACTGTTTTTGGGTCTTCCGCCTTGTGAGTTCCGGTTCACCTACGCTTGATCTGATTTTATTCGCCTGTTTAATGAATCAATGCACGGGTGTTGTAGTGGAGTTTGAAGCCTTCTATGCCTAGAATGTCTCATTACCTGAAACCAGTAACCTTTTATTCTTACTGCTTCAAAATAAGCAGTTAGACGTATCTTTTGCAAACTAGGAACTTTTTTAGCGTCATGCCCATTTACTGTTGTGGGTTTCTATCCTTCTGTCTTGCTTTCTCCTGCACCTGCTCTGGTCTAGTTTGGATGTAAAAATCAGGTATAGGGTTCTGATGGTTTCGCGTCTGATTCTTCTGAAGCTTTTTCTTTGCCATTAGCTCAGATGCCAGTGCGTTGGTTTTATTAATGATTGTTGCAAACTCTCAACTTTACCATTGTAAACTATGTTTGCATAGTCTAGAATCATTTATGGTGTTCAGCGAGTATTTGCAATCCTTCTCGTCTGAGTAGTGCAAAAGTAAGTATGTTCATTTTCTGATTGTGTCTCACTCACGAATTGACGCAGCTCTAGTAGAGAATGGAAAGTTTCTATTAGCTGCAAGAAAGTGTCGACGGGCAACTAGCACAGATTATATAGTTTCTTTAAATCATGAAGATATGTCAAGAGGAAGTAATACATATGTCGGGAAGCTGAGGTATTTATAATCCTCCAAACTTCGCTTCTTATAGAGACCTTTCTGATCCAATTAATGCAATATCTGTGTTTCAATGTTATGCTCATCAATATGATGATATTTCCGGAGCACACTAACTGCTTGTGCGATTTCCCGGTTCACTCGCAGATCGAATTTCCTGGGCACGAAATTTACAATCTACGACAGTCAGCCCCCTCACAGCGGTGTGGTAGCCTCCAACCGCGGCACTCGGCGCTTGGGATCGAAGCAGCTGACTTCACGTGTACATTGTGGGAGCCACAACGTGGCGCACATAGCCTACGAGTTGAATGTGCTGGGCACGCGAGGCCCGAGACGAATGCAGTGTACGATGCACTCAATACCAGCGTCGGCGATGGCGTCCGGAGGCAGCGCCCCGACACCAACAGAGTTCACGTCATGCGGGTTGGAGGAGGCGCACGTTCCGTACTCGAGCATACTTCTGTCTCCGCGGTCGAAAGCGGCGGTGGTGGACAGCAGCGCGTTGGAAAGCAGCGAGCTGGTATCGGGAGTGCTGTGCAAGGAGGAGCCGTTGGTGTTGAAGAACAAGGCACCGCGATGGCACGAGCAGCTGCAGTGCTGGTGCTTGAACTTTCGGGGAAGGGTGACGGTGGCGTCTGTGAAGAACTTCCAGCTGGTGGCTGCGACGACATCGTCGACGACGACGAGTACGACGGCGGGTGAGGCGGCAGCAGCAACGGGAGGTGGAGGTGGAGCAGGTGCAGCGACACCAGCACCGACGAGTTCGGGATCGGACCACGACAAGGTGCTGCTGCAGTTCGGGAAGATCGGGAAGGACATGTTTACGATGGATTACCGGTACCCTTTGAGCGCTTTTCAGGCGTTTGCAATCTGTCTGAGCAGCTTTGACACGAAGTTGGCTTGTGAGTAGGCCGGAGTTACTTCAGGTTGAACCCTCGTGTCATTCTCCATCCATTACCCACAACATTCCGAGCTTCACGCTCTTCTTTCTGAAGGCTGGAGTGATGAAAGCTCTTCATACAGGTGTTGGTTTTTATCAGACAGGGAATGCAACCCTAACACTCAGTGGAGACAGATATTTTATTCTGTTGTTTCATGTTCATGAATCTCTTTCAGGTGGATCATCCCTCGTATTCAGCCTCCAACGCATGTGTGATTGCACCGATAGGAACAGTCCTCTGAAAATGAAGGGTTTAAGCAGATCATGGAATTTCCTAGAGGTTGCGATATCGACTTTGCTTGACCCTGCCGCTCTCAGCCGCGGATGTACGCATGAACTACGTGTACCCACAATTCTAATCTTTCATCTGGTTCCTAGTACTCTCTTGTTTCGAGTTCATCAACGTTAGTGCAACTGGAGGGTACTTGTATAATGATGTCATGATACTGGAGAATATGATATCATGACATCTTTGGGAAGTTTTTGTAGTTCATGAAACTGTTTGACTGATTGTTGCTTATTTGCCTCAAACCCAATTGGTGTTTTCTTTTTGCTGCTAGAAGTTTCCAGTGAATGCTCTATGAATCATAATGGGATAGCTGTGCTGGATATCAGTAGAGCACTTCGAGTATACTCGGACATGAACTCAGAGAGCTCTCTGGATCTCTTCTGCTACAAGCTCTTAACCAAACTCGAGGTTCACCACCTAGTTGCAGCTCCCTCCCCTCTGCAACTACTGTTGTCTAGTTTGTTATCTTAAGTTGACTACATGTGAGCAATTTCGATAGACTGTACATAGCAATTCATGCACATTTGTTTTATTTCTACTTCTATTTTTTAAATCTTACATACATTCACGCTCACATGTTTATATATAGTCATGTGAAACTTTAAGGACAAGTAGTGGTGTTGTGTTTCTTGTTTCATATTAAATTAGGTGACTAGATGTAATAGACATACAAAGCTACTGTTTGATGGATAAGAAATATTAATAATTGTAAGTTGAAGATGGATCAAATTACATTATAAAATCGAATGTCACCTTTTTTTTTCCTTCTGCCACTCTTTTCTGCACAAACATCCATGATCCTTCCTTTAATCCCACTTATTAGTATCTTGTATGAGCAAAATATTTAAGTTTTAAGCTTTGAATAATACTCATGTCATAAAACACATTTCAAATTTTTTATATACTAAAATAATTCTGGATTGTTAGATTATTAGTAAGATCTGTTTTATTAAATAAAACTCTTGTTCTATCAGATTTGGATTAGTTGTAGGATAATTTATTCTTAGAAATCTAATCATATGAATGTATTTATGATTATAATTGTATATATATATATATATATATATATATGAAAAATTAAGAAAACGAAAAATTAAAATAATATTCTAAGAATACTTTACTAACCTTTCTCTAAGTTAATTAACAATCCACCACATGTTAATTAACAATTTTTTGTCAAAATTTTCTACTAAAAATTTACAAAATATATACATACATATATAGATATATCACTTGCTACATTAGAGATATTTTGTGCATGATCAAAAGACCGAACTTCATATTGCAAAAAGGATAATACCTGGAATATTAATAAAGAAGGGTGGGGATGGGATTGATCACCAGCCAACTAAGGTTCTGTTTTTCTCCCTTCTGAACCCCACATGTTTTGTATTGGTGGGAAGGAGATTGTCACTAATTAAGCTTTTTCTATTGGAAAAGAGGGGAGGGAAAGGCATCGGAGTGGTGTTAGAACTGCTCTTGAATGTGAAGGCTTTGTCTAGACACCGAGCTGGATTTAGCCCCACATTCGTTTGAAACGCTAGAACTCAGTTCTGTTGTGATCGTTAGAAGCTCTGGAGTATCGGTGAAGACTACTCCGAACATGTAGTAGAACGTGAAAGTAATTAGAGAGTATGATTCAGAAGCGATTGAATGAACACTTGGGGCCAATAAAAATGGAAAGATTGGCTACTTATTATCTGGTAAGAGAGGATTTAATAGACAATATCTCATGCTTTTGAAGCGGGTGTTTTATTTAAAGCTCTGCGTGTTAATGTACTAGATGTTGTGGGCTGGTTCGCAGAGTTTTTGTTAGTTTCGGAGTTGGATTCCTGCAGGTGATGTGTGGCACTGATCAGCTTGCAGTCTGTATCGTCAGGAAGTAGAACATATCAAGCAGTTTTCCGAGGTCCAGATGCAGTAGTGTAAACATTGGTCGATGATAGTTTTGTCTTGCGTTGTTAGAATCGAAGATAAATTTGCCTGTAATCCCTCTATGTAGTTCATTGAATCATTTCTAGGATGATGTTCATACTCGTCTTCCGGTAAGCCGAAGAGTTTTTGTGGTCCTACAAACCCTGCCGATTCGCGCTTGAGCGTGTTTGAATAGTGCAATGACTGACGCTGATGGTTGCATATGTAGACTTGACTTCAGTTTTTCAGGTGTTCGCACATGAAGCTGTTGGCGGTGTTAGTGTTGCTCGTAAGTCTGTTACAGGTGAAGCCTGACTCATTCAACTTAATAGTCAATTTGAAAGGCACCTTTCGATTGCGTTTTGGGAATCTATAGAAAAAGCCATCCCGTAAAAAGGGATCTAAAATATTGATTTCTAGAAGACGGTTAGCGTTTGGCTAGCTTAATCCTCAAGTCACATGATAATTTTTAGGAATCTTTACTTCATTGAAAGAAGACGTTGCTTGAACTTATGGTTGTTAGCAATTGTGGGGGTGTCCATTTCCCTTGTAAGCAGCTATTGTTTGGGACAATCAAAGATCTAAGAATTCTACTAGTTGTCTTGAACTCTACAGCCGCATGTTGTTGGGCTGGTGAAAGGTACCTCAAGAATTAGAATATCATCAGTAGATATAGGCCGGTTTTGCGTGATTGAAGTTCACGAGTCGTTCGTCAAGCTTCTTTCATATTGTTCCCTGTGAGAACTTGCAGCCTTTTACTGTGAGTCGCGTTTCTCTTGCAAACTGTGCAGCGACAGTGTTACGTAGGTGTGTGCCTGAAAGCGCGAATCTCACACGGTTTCACAGATCTCTACATTCTTGCTGGTCTCAAAAAAAATGCTTATGAGTGTCAGCTTATTGAACAAATGCACAACTAGATTGGAAGAATCTAGCCCCAAATGTAGAGATCATAAAACCGCAACTGGTGATGGCCGTGTTGGAATGGGTCGAATCCTTCCTTGTAACAGTAACATACATGGATGTAGTTTATTCTTCTAGATCTTTACTTAGTTAGTCTGCTAGTCATGTATATACTCTAGGCTCTTGTTTGGCTCTCTCAATTTGATGTGATCTCCAAAACCTACATAATATCAAAGCACACAGACTGTCCTTGGCCACTTGTGGTAGAGCCGTGTGTAACCTAAGTTGTGTAGACGTTCCTTAGACATCAACCATCATATATCTGTAGCACTAGTAAAAAGCAATGTTTGTGTGCTTCAAAAATTTAAGAAATTCAAAGCTGAGACCAAGTTAATTACCAATTACAATTCCACACCCTTTAAGGTGAGAATGGTGGTGAATATGTCTTGTATGCATTTTCCTTCCATTGTGACTCACAGAAGATCATTCAACAAAAATTCTAATATGTTATGCAAAGTAGTAGCCTTAGGTAAGGCCAAAACCATTCCATCTATGAGACGATTTGCTCGTTCTTTTATTAAAATTGTCTTCTCAAACACCTTTGATCCAAGGTCACTAATACTTTGGTGTTTTTGCACAACAAATGTCCTATTAAAACTCTCTTGGACCAAACATTGGAAGATGCATTTATAAAAAAGAAACTTAATCTCTTATTCTTAAGAATATTTGACATCCAAGTCTTCATCTATGTACTTATACACACACATGACAAATTAGACTTCTAGACCATGCTTTGCATTCTTGTAGGACATACATCTATACCAAAGGATATTGATGCTATTGCCTTGCAATATAAGCTATTATTTATTTTCAAATTGAAATAGCTCTCCAAATTTGATTTTATAAAATTGATTGCAATTTGAATAAATAAGATCTACACTCCTCCTCTTCAAACAATAATGTGTAATTTCTACAATAGCAAAATTGTCCTTGTTATTCTCTATGTTGATGATCTCTTCATCACTCATGACCATCATTGCAAAATTACATGGTTGAGAACTATACTTCAAGAAACATTTGACATGATAGACTTATGGTAACGTAGTTGCTACTTTGGCATTGAATTTGACCAATTATTGGCTAGCCTTTTGTCTTCACCAAACAACCTACACTCTCAATATTCTTGATCTCTTTGGTATGATCAACTATAATTTGTTCATGTCTCCACTCCTTAATTATTAATTCTACTCACTACTCTTAAGTTGTAAGAAAACATTTATATTTGACCAACACTTGATTGGACATCATCTATGCCATAAATCTAGTCTCTTGATTTATGAAGATACCTCAATAAGTATACTTAAATGTCATCAAGTGCATCTTGCACTACCTTAAGGGCATACCATCCTTAGATTTATACTATCCAAAAACTAATCAACTCACACTTATTATGTATAACAATGCCTATTGGAAGAAGGAGGATATTTTGATCAACATTAGTCCAAAAGAGTATTTATCTTTACTATAGACTCTACTTCTATCACTTGTTGTACAAAAAAACAAACTTGTATATCCTTATCTTCTACAAAATCTAAATACTATGCATGAATAGATGCATCCAAAGAAGCCATTTGGATTCAAAATCTCTACTCTAAATTAGGATTCTTAAAAACTAAACCTAAAAAGTTCTATTTTGATAACCAAAGCATAATTAAAATATCCAAAATTTTGATATATTATTCTAAGATAAAATATTTAAAGATTCATCTCAATTATTTTCAAGATATGGTAGAAAAGAAACAAATAGAAGTTTTATAAATTCCTACAAATTAACAATCTATCAATATTTTTACAAAAGTTCTAGGCATCATAAATTTTGAGAGATGTAAAAAATTATTTAACCTTATAGAAGATAAGGTCTCTATTTTCTAGACTAAGACTAGTTGCTCCTCCAAAAGACTTAGCTTTCTTATAAGTTGCAAAACTCTTAAAAATTGCTCCCTTGTATTATATTACTTCTCTTTTGCAATTACCCCAACTAGTATACATCTCAAGATGTTTCTTTTTGCAAACCATGTAATACTTTTTGAAACAAAGACTATATTTACATAATTTGGAAGGAATTAATGCTAAATTATCTTTAATTAGAGTGCTAGACAACTTCAATACAACCTTTGCCAATCTACACTATACTAGCATCCAATTACTATACCTTTGCAATAATATTATAAGTATCTATATACTTATAAAGAACACCTCTCACTATTTTTTTTTACTCAACATATACCACTCAACAACATTGCATTAAGCTTGATTGAAGGAAGGATTCATTGCAATCAAGTGTTCAATTCACCACTATAAATCTATTATAGCCAACTTGTGTGTTGAACCTTAATAAATGTTACAACAAGCAAGTCTTCAAGGAGTGTATTGGAATGGGTTAAAACCTTCCTTGTAACAATAATATTCATCCATGGATGTAGTTTATGCTTCTAGATGTTTATATAGTTTGTTTACCAATCATTCACATATTCTAAACCCTTGTTTTGCTCTTCTTCTTAATTTGATGTAATTTCCAAAACCTACATGAAGAAGTGAAGAGAAGAATTCAGCTTCAATCATCACATGGGGTTACTATTTGTAGAATCCACACACACATATCTATATATATATATATATATATATAACATGTTTTATTTATCTCTATGTAGGCTTCACAGAGCTCAGCTGTTGTAGCCCTCACTTGTCGACCATGGTTACTCCAAATGGCAAGACATAGTCAGAGCGTCGCTGTACCAGCGATTTGAAGAACGAATTCTTATTTTTCTTCCTACCTAGTCCGAAACCGTGCTTTCAATCACACCAATTTTCCTACTGCAACTTTGTACGTCGCTCTGTGTTCGGCTTTGTTTCGAACAAATTTTTATCTCTATTTGTCAAGCAATGGTACCTGAAGCCATGTAATGTAAAGAAATTGCCCGTGGGTTCAGTACCAAACTGGGATTTATAGCACTCGTAGTCACAGACAGTGATTGAACCAGGACTGATTGTTACCTGATTTCTAATACGTATTGTGTGGAAACACTCAGTGCTGCCAACTGGTCTTGCCATATTTTCAATGATAGAGAATTGTCTTGAAGTATTAAGACATGAAATACACAGACAAGATGAACTTTTGTTGGCCGGAATAAGTCTCACTGGCGGTGGCCGTATTATACCCATTGATGAAGCAGGGAGCTATCTGCACTGATTCACTGTTCCTACTGCTTCTTGTCCAGTCTATCAAACTGGTTTATTAGGTTTAGTTTGTCGTTTCTTAAAGTTCGCTCATTGCAAAAATCGACCCCTCCTTACTGTGTATTGTTTAGCTTTCCTGTTTGTGGCCTTGTTAGTGTTCGAATTCTATTGTTTCTAACTTTCGCCTAGGTTCAATCCATTGAGTAGTTTAATCTTGGTGATTTGCATTTCCGAGTCCTAGAAAAGCTGCAGTTTACATACGTATTTGGTCTCCTTGTATCATTAGGTAGAGTTCGAGAATTTTCTTTTGTACTCATCTAGATTTGAAAAGCTGGCTGCTTGCATTTCGTCTAAAGCCAAAACATGGAAGGATCCATTCACAGATTGTTGTGAGTTCGACAAATTTTCCAGTATCAATCCGGAATGAGTACGCTTCAATTCGAAAGATCTGTTGAAAGCTGTGCAATCCTGGTTTAGCTGACTACTCTCAGCTCTTAGGACGCATCGACGAGGATTATCGCAGCTAGGGCTGCCCTTCAAGTTCCCTCCACCATCCAGCAGGAGAGTACATTGTTGGAGCGTCGGTGTTGTCTCCCTCAGTGCTCTAAAACAAAGCTTATGCACACGGCAAGGCATTTAACGGAAACTGCCGGAAGGATATTGAAAGAGATTGTAGTAAAACGTTGCAGGTTTGTGAGCTCTTCCAGCCACCCAAATTCGAAGCGGTTCAGTGAGTTTCAACCCTTGCACGATAAATTGTTGCAAAATACTTCCAACTTGAAATATAGGTCATGATCTCGTTTCAGTCCATTACACATTGCGAAAAACAAGGAGTCAGAGGCTTATCCGAGTCTCACCGTTGCAGCAAATGAAAGATGAAACATGCTTTCCTTGACCATTGTCGTGCCAATGCAGTGTCACTCCTGAAAGTAATTTGATCCCATCTCCCGTGGTCTTCTACACCATCCCTGCTGATCAATCCCATAGTATGTTTGCAATAATAGTAAAATCACATCTGAGTGTCAGCGACTTCAGTATATAGACCAATTAGGCTACAGGCTTTCCAATCAGCACGTCCTGCGCGCAGAGGTCTATCTTCCACTGGGGCCCCCGCTTGTCTCTAGCTCCCGTCAAATTGATTTCTAGGTCTCATGCTCCCAACACAATCTGTTTTCAGAGCCATATCCGCACAAACTCGAATCTCAAACTCTTTGAGCTTGTTGTGAAGGAAAACCAAGTTGACATTCTGCTCACGAAACCTTATCCCGTAGCAAAGAGTTTTTACACTACCGTTATGTAACTGTGTAAAGCTGCTCCACCCCCCTTCCTACTTTTTGATGCTCTTTTCGAGTGCAGGCCCCACACCCAGACTCTTCCATCTGTACCCTCACAAACATGATGGGGATGTGATGCCGAGGGGTGGTGTTACCAAGAACCAGCCACGCAAGAACCAGCCACGCTGCTGAATCCTTCACGGAGACTTGGTCCGTTAACTGAGTCAACAAAAATATCACAGTGGGCTACGGATCGTGCACAGGGAGAGTATTCCCCTTCGGAGAATGGCCCTCGGACGAAGAAGCACTTGGATCCTTCCACACACAACCCACAAGATTAAAATTAGTTGGCCACTACCCAATTTTCGAGCAAAGGTCAATATCTGCCGTTGCCTGCGTGATCTATTACCTGGCATGCTGCTGCTAGCGGTATCGAATCCAGAATGAAAATGTTGACACAACCTCTCCTACAGTTCCATGTCAAGTCGATACTTGTTCAAGCCATTCATGGTGTGGAAATCCACAGGATAAAAATTACCTCTTATCGATTGTTTTATCGACTGACATGACACATCCATGTTTATAACAACCCACAAAGAAGAAAAATGGTAGACTTTTTTATACTCTTTCACTGTTTTTATGGATCAACACCATAAAGTAAAACGAACAGTGACTCTCCTTATTTTGTTTCGTTTTAAATTCCAATACAATCTCCGAATTTCCTATTCGGTGCTTTTTACACACACCAGAGAGCCAGTTTGAGTCAAATGATCAGATGAGAAGGGCAAAGACAGATCCAGTGAGAGAGGGGTCATGCGGACAGAATGACGGGGCCAGGGCAAAGACCAGGGTGACCCAGCGAACCGCAGGGCGGGAAAGTGCCGGGTGAAACCCTAAAACGGGACGTGGAAAAGGGCGGGCAGGGAGGATCGTAGACAGACCGAGACGGAGATCGAGTGGGAGGGTGATGGGATTGAAGAGTGTGGATCTGGGAGCTGTGAGGGCCTCGCGGTGGTGACGCAGGAATCACGCATTTGCATGTCCAGCCCGCTATCGCCAGTGCCTGCCATTGCTTGTTAGCGCCCTGCCCCGAGCTGGCTGCGCTGAATCCGCACTCTCTTGACTCACCCCTCGGCCCCGAAATAGCGTAGCGTCTTGCCGATGTATTTTTAGCAAAGGGTTTTGGTTGCCGGGTTCGGCTTGCTAGGAGGAGTTTTGTGACCTTGAGAGTCGAGGGGTGGAGAAAGAGGGTAGGGAGTGCAAGCACGCAGGCAGGCTATGGATCTGGTGGCGGGGAGAGTGATGGAAGTCGCGTGACGAAGAACCGTGGAGGTGGGGGCATACCCGGGAATGCCTTGGTGGTAGCATGAGTGGCGACTCTATCGAAGGGTGCCTGTGCGTAGAGGAGCTCCGCCAGACGGGTTGGTGTGTGGAGGGCGTGGAGAAGCGGGCGGGAGGGCGAACAGGCGTCTTTTCGAGTCCGATGACATGCCGCAGGGTTTAGAGGTGTGTGAGAATATTTTAAAGTACGGTGGGTCCGTTCTGGTGCGATGCAGATGGTGTTGTGGAGAACCGTTCTGTTGTGGGAGATTGAACGAGACAGAGAGAACAGAGGAGAGGAAGAAAGGTTTTTCTTTATTTTGGGATAGCGTGGATGTTGGTTTGAATAGCACGGGGGAAAGAGTGACAGTTTTTGTGGAGTGTAGGCTGTGATCGAAGCTCCAGATTCTGAAAACCCGAAAGTGAGGTAGTGCTGTGGACACAGTGGATGCCAGCGGTGCCGTCAGGTCAGCTGGATGAGTAGATTCTTCTGCGTTGCACGGTGACTTGTGAAGCCTGCGATGGAGATATATTCGGTGGACATCAGTGTTATTATGTTTGTGATTTCTTAGGTTGGGGTGCACTTTGGAGCTCCTGTGACTAGTTCTGCCTTTATTAGTAGGCGCCGCACTAAACACCTCTGAATGCCATCCTAGGGGAGCTATATCTCCACAGAAGTTCTCACTACATAGCCTCTCAGTGCAGATGCGGTGCAACGGGTGAGATCATCCGCGGCTAACTATCATCGGATTTAGCACCCTAGAACAGAGATCAACGCAGAAGTAGTGAATAAGGCGTCTCGACTCTTTCGCAATTAAACATGGAGGACCAGTTCGCCAACATATTACAGCGAAACTATGGATTGAAGGCTGTAGGTAAATCTGCATCTTTGGGGCCTCGGTCAGAAGATAGGTATGCGAAATCATTGGATAGAGGGACAAGTGTTGGAAGTGGAATTGGACGCATCAATCAATCTGCCGCTGCCGCAGTATTTGCAGTAGGTGATAATATTGATACTCGTTCTCAAGGACAGAATGGGTCGAGCAAATCAAGCACCCGACAATCAGATCCGCTCTCGACATATGGAAGCTCACTTGATGAAGGTTTTCGCATGCCTTCAAAGTAAGCATTCACTAAAAAGACATCCTTGTTTAATTGATTTGCCCTCATGTCCTATTGTGCGCTGAAGTACATTGTATTATCATTGCATGTTATCGTCAGACTCGGTCGAAGTGTTCATCCTTCTCAATTTTTTTCTATTTACAGAATCTTATCTTTACCTCCGGTTGCCTAGAACGTTTGGTTAGTCCGAACTGTCCATGTGGCGATGTAGTGTATTTCCGTGTGTCATCAAGTCTTGCCAACGATTAGAGTCTCATGATCTAAAAACTAGGTTTGTATTTTTTAGAATCATGAGCGAGTGTATGGAAAGTAACTCTAAGGTGAAGTTTTATTGCTTAGTCTCTTCGCAACTATGCTGCAGGATCTGATACTTGAAGCAGTGCACTGAAAAGGTCTGAATTGTGATGGCGTTCATGACGTGCTACAATTGATGTCATTTTGTGTTAATTTTGTGCGCATTTTACGTGTTTTTCATTCAGAAGCTCTAGTGTGGGAGTATTCGAAGAGATATTTAGCGGCGCCAAATCAGGTTCTGCTTCAAGCTCAAGCTTTGCTGAGTTTTTGGATGGTAGCTTCAGCAAATCAACTGCTCGATCTTCTGATAGCCCTTACAGTGAGGACATTCCTGCCGTTTTCTTCCAAAGTACAAGGCCAACAGAGCATCCGATTCAAAAGATGAATGAGCAAGGTGTGCTCTATAAGTCTTATTTGATAAAACAATAGCAGCTTTTACTAAGTAATTTGATACCTTTATTATGTTTCCTTCAGTCGAAGGAAAATACCTCTACACGTATGGTAAGCAGTCAATCAGTAGATAATGACGGATTTTTTCTTCGGTTGTATTGACCACTTGGTGAACTCTTGCGACAGAAGCTCCAGCAGATGTTGGGAGAAGACCATCTCGCTCTGGACATTCGAGAAGATCTGCAGAAGAGGAATTTTTGGATTCACTCCAAAGGGATCCTAAAACCAATAGTCACGCGGGATCAGTTCCCAGTTCATATGATAGTCCCAAATCGCAATCTTCTAAATATTTTGCATCAGTTGAATGCGACAGTCCTTTGAAAGGCAGTTTCATGAGAGGGTTTGGACGGTCTAGGACAGCTAGATCAACTCCACAATTTAGTCACAGGGGGGGAGATTCTCTATTTGAGCCATCGTCTGCAGAAGGAGCCAGTAGTCTGACAGGAAGCAGGTTGAATACTGACTCAAACCACAAGATAGGTTCAGCCAGGTCATCTCCTTCTATGGATGGCTCAGAGGCAGAAATTATCGGAAGAATGGATTCAACTCCTGGATTTACAATACCCGCTTCAAACGACTCTGCTTTCCCAGACCTCAATGAGCCTTATGCACCGTCTAGCACGGATTTGCCTACGAAACTCCCTAGTCCACTCAGGATGTCCACTTCCGAGCCAAGGGCAGGAGAGGCATCGCTTGATTCATTGGATGAGGTGTCCAAATCCCCAACTAGTGCGACTGCCAACACAAAGCAGACGGATTCTCCTAATTCAGGTCCAGGTCCTTTTGTTTCGGAATCTAGAAACCATGCCTCGGCTCAAGAAGTGAGTTCAAGCAAAGATGAAGGTGTTCCCATGCGAAGGGCTTTCGATTTAAACTCCACGGGCAGTCCTATCGCATCCTCGTCATTTGCACACACGGGAACCCGCAGATCTACACGCACTGGCGCTAGTCGCTCGAATGGTCCATCGCTAAATATTGAGGAGCCACTCACTAAGTTTGAGGTAAACATGCCGTCAGCTGGAGGATCTGGAGAACCACGTAGATCTCGGAGAAAGCCAGACCCATTGGCAGAAGTATGGCTTACGGTTGACCAGATTAGACTTGTTACTAAGCCTTCACCTTTTCCACCTCCCTCCAGACCTCCTCCTCCTTTACCTCCCCTTGCAAGGCATCATTCTTCCTCTGACAGGCATCGTTCTGGTTACACGAAGTTTTCTGAAACCCCGAAGCATCAACCTAGCCAGCCTCCGCAATCTTCTGCAACCGACATACATCCTAGTCCTAAATCCCGGTCATCTGGCACTGATAGACCTCAGCCCAGCCAGAAGGCCCAGTCACGCTCAGATGTGGAAAGACAGCCCTCCAAACAGCCGAGTTCTGGGATGGAAAGGCCAAATGGAAGTGCCGAAAAGCAGGCGGCGAACCAGAAAGACGGGTTTGTTTTGCCAGAGGTCACTATTGTTGACTTGGGTTCAGAAATTAAGCCATCCAGAGAGGATAGGAGGAGGATGCGTGAGCAAATTGAGAGGGAGCGACGCCGAGCTAAAAGGGAGGAAGAGCGTCTTAAGGAGAAGGAAAGGCTAGAAAAGGAAGGTCTGAGGGATTCAATCTTCAGAGACTCCGAGCCAGTCGGCGGCAGAGAACCTTCTCGGCCGAGGGAGAGCAGGCGTGAGAAAGTGTTTGATCCTAGAGAGCGTTATTCTCAGGATCCGGCAACCAGGAGAGAAGAAAAGGATAATCAATACCGAGTCCTCAGGCAGCAAGAAAAAGAACTGCAGGACAGGTTAGTTAAACAAGAAGAGGCAAGAGAAAGAGAGAATGAAAGATCAAGTGAAAGACTAAGAAGATCTCAAGAAAAGGCTGCTATGGAGGCACAGGAGCGTGCTGAAAGAGCAGCGGTGGAGAGGGCTGTGCAAGAAGCCCACGAGCGGGCAGAGAGAGCAGCTCGTCAAAGGGCAGCAGCTGCCAGAGATAAAGAGCGTATGAAAGAGAGGGAGAGAGAAAGAGAAAGAGAAAGGGATAGGGAAGAGGAAAAATTACGGGATAGGTTGAGGGAGAAGGAAAGAGGACTTGCTGAACAATTACGCAGCAGGGACAACTTCCGTGCCACCAGTGAACCACGGCAACGACCCACAGTCTCGGTCAATCCTCCCTCAGGAGGACTCTCTAGATTTTCATCAGGCGAAAATCTCAATAATTTCTCTGGTACATCAGATACTCGAAAATCACCTTCAACGAAGAGGGCCGTTGATGACTGGACTAATCTTTTCACCCAACCGTCTGGATCAGAGAAGGTTCAGGAGATTCCAGGAGAGCCTGCAGATAGAAGGAAACTGCGACTGGAAAAGCAAATGCTTATAGAAGAGCGGGCTGCCAAAGCTTTACAAGAGAAAAATATGCGGGATCAGGCATTACAGCGCGAGCAAGAGGAAAGACAGAGATACTCGAGCACACTGGATGCAGATGTGCGACGTTGGTCTGTCGGGAAGGAAGGCAATTTGCGGGCTTTGCTTTCCACCTTACACCTGATGCTGTGGCCAGAGTGCAACTGGAAGGTTGTATCGATGTCGGATCTTGTCTCTGGTCCTGCCGTCAAGAAAGCCTATCAGAGAGCAATACTTTGTGTGCATCCTGACAAAGTCCAGCAGAAAGGAGCGAATGTGAAACAAAAGTACATTGCGGAGAAGGTTTTTGATCTTCTCAAAGATGCGTATGCGAAATTCAACAGCGAACTGTACTAAGTCATTTATTCATCACTATGATCTGCAATCACCCGCACAGCACCCTTGTTTTCACAGTGTCATGAATTCCTGGCGCAGGTTGTGGGATGTTGGTTGAACATCGATTCCTTGGTTCCCTCTCTTGCCGTAGCTGTCGCAACGTATGAGCTCTCCCAAGCTCAGTCGATACCTCTAGCTTTATTGCCTTTATTTTGAGACTTTTGTGCCTCGACGGAGTTTTTTTCGAGTAGTGCTGATGATGTTGAGCCTGTGGCACTCCATCCCGTTTCCTTCTTGTTAAGTCATGTGAAGCTTTTATGTCCTACAGGTTTATGGGGCAAACAGAAGTTTCTTGTAAGCTGGTCCACCTTGTGAAACACATGCCTCGTGCTTTGACTACATGCGTTCCAATTCTGCCTCCGAGAGTGCCATGCCCATTGTCACTTGACATTGGTAGTTGGCTGGATGCTGTCGAAGATTGTCAGCACAATGGTGGAAAACAATGCTCTCCACTCAAGTTTGAAGAAGACTGATCAAGGCTCCATCATGAAGTCCAGTTCCTCCATCCCCACAAGTGCTACCAGATCTCGAACCCATCTGCATTTTTCACTTTGAATTAGCCCATTTATCCGTTATTATACACTGATGTTAGTCTTGTACATAAAATGGTTCCAGATCTCTCTGTTAGAAATTGGGCTTGTTATGTTTTTATGACATTCTTAATCCCTAAACGTCCAAGCCTTTGATAGTAGCGTCAAGCCCCCTTTGCATGTATGATTTGCCTATCAAATGTTTGCGTAGTAAATAACTCTGTATTTTTAAACCCCAGGATCATCTCTTTCATTGTGGTCTTGAGACGGTTCAATTTTGTTTTGGTAGGGACGAAATCATATAAATGACAGAAACTCTCAATGATTTGATCAGTGCTTAATGTATGAAATGTAAAGCAAAAACTAGGTCAGATGAGTTTTGTTTCTGTGTGGGTTTTGCAGTCAAAGGCTTGTTTATGTAATCAAAATGGCCAGTTCGACCAGCCACCTTTCGTTATTGAAATTTTTAGGAGCAGAACTGAGCTTTGTTCTCAGGTTAATGCTTAAACACCCTAAAATTAATAATTACTATATACCTATTCTTTTCTAGAAAAAAGACGTACAGATTTAATTGTAATTTAATTTGGATTTTTTTTCTTCTAATTACCTGAATTTTAGTGTTGAAGAAATTTTTGGAGTACATTTAAGACTCTCTAAAGTATACATTTTTCCTATTCAATTTTGTATTAATTTTGCAATAATTTGATATACATTTTGATTTGTCTTTAAAATACATTTATTAAAAAAATTGCACTTGAAGAGTAACATGGAACTACCTGCAAATCTTGTCTACCTATAAAAAGAGATTTGAAATGTCTTTATAAAATCTGATACTTTATTTGATTTTAATTTTTTAAAAATAAACTAATGTATTGAGCATAGATAAAACCTAAAAAGCATGGAAATAGTTCTAATGTATAATCTAAAAAATTAATACACTAACAATAAATTGTTTAAAAAAAATACAAATGCAAATCTATTAAATTTATTTATTTATTTAATTTTTACTCAAAAACATGGTGAATTGAATGCATTAATGAAGTGGTAAAAGTATATTATACTACATAATTCTTTATACCTAGAAGGTAAAGCTAAGAGTACTAAGAAGAAGGAATAATTGTTAAAACTAACTTGTTTACAATTTTGTGTAAAATCAGGCCAAATTTGCATGCTACTAGATTAGTAATAGAGGTATTGTTTAGGAGTAGCTTTTTGCCAAGTTTAGTCAAATATATCATAAGCTCTTCTCTAGTGACCTAAGACTATGATAGAAGCTTAAAAGTCAATTTACTAACTTGACTTTAAAAGAAATCAATGCCAAATTCTCCTTTTCTTACATGTTTTGTTTTTGAAACCACTCTAATTATTTTAAAAAAACCTGCCAATTGTTTTCTATTGTCTACTAAGTTGCGGTTTTTGTGTTTAAGATTTTTATTTATTTATTTATTTTAAAATCTTAGTGGAGAATTTTAGATTGAGTTTGAACTCAAATTTCTACAATTTTAGTAGGTTTAGGTAAGACAAACTATATTTTTCCTTCTACATCAATATATTCAAAAGGAAATAATACCACTTCTAATTGGTAGTTTGTCATCAATTCAATTTAGCATGGAAAGAAGTGACAAGATTGGTTGAAAGAAAATATGTAGCGATGGTTAGAGCTATTTCAACATCTATATCAAATCATTTTATTTTATTTTATTTTATTATAGAATATTATTTAAGCATCACTAAAAGTTGCTTTGTTTAAGAACTTTGATAATACAAGATTTAAGTTTTGAAGATTTATTAATTAAGTATAATTAGTAATTGAGCTTTGACTTCAAAGTTATTCAATTTTCAAATGACAAGTCAAGGTTATAAGAATATTATTTTTAGATTCTTTTTTATCATAGTTTAATTTATTTTATTGAACAACACAATCCAATATTAAATGATTTGAAGGATGTTTTGAGAGAATTTAGTTCTATGTATGGAGAATATAATTTGATTTGTATTGCAACCAATAAGATTTACATATTACATTAAGGTAATTATTTAATTCTAGTATAGACTTTATAATTTAAAAAATTTCAAATTGACATCAATTAGGATGATGTTATACTTATTAACTAATTTTTCTATAGATTATAATAGAAGATAAAGAAATTGGTGCTTAATTTATATGATTCTCAAACGTTAAGTCAAGCAATTGATTTTATTGTGAAGTGTGATAATTGGCTTTTTAAACTTTGATCTTAGAATTGCACAAGTATATCTTAATTTCTTTACAATTTAATAGCAATATTAACATCTTTTCAATCTATACATTTGATTTGAATATATGCAAATTGATGCAATGTGTTTTAAACCTTTCACCAAGCAAGAAAAATCTTGACATTGTGAACAAGAATTGTGATTATATTGTAAATAATCCAAGCACAATACTCAATATTATTCAAAGAAGCAATGAAACCATAGAATAAAGAATGTAACTATCAAAGAAGATAAATTGTTGAAAAACAAGTTCGCCTAACTACAATAAGAATCATGTGGCCAAAATCCTGTACAATATTTATTGAAGGTTCTATTTTCTCTTCAAATCCATCTTTTTGTTTTGAAATAAATATTTATTTAGGACCTAAAAATCACAAAGCCTTTGCCTTGTTAGATTTAAGAGCTTCAAATTGTTTCTTAGATAAAAAGTTTGTTAAGAGAAATAATATAATCTTAATAAAGATAATTAAATCCACACATATAGAAGTCATAGGTGGCCATATTTTATCTTCTAAAGATATTATTTATGAAACCAATCCAATATATATATCAATAAGTATTTATAATATCTTAATTTTATTTAACATTATTTGATATTTTTCTAATCAAGTCATTTTAAGTTTATTGTGGTTAAAAAAAATATAACTTTTAGATAGTGTGGATTTCTTGTAATCTTGATTTTTTTCATAGCCTAATCAAAACTTTTGTTAATTAAAAGATATATTTTGAGTCCTATCAATGCAACTTAATTAGTAGAATTATTAAAATTAGGACTTTAAATTATTTAGATGCTAAAATATAATGATAATAGATTCTATTTGTTTGTTTAAATATTTATTAGAATTTAAAAGAATTTATGGGTTACAAGAGTCTTATTAGAAAAAATTTATCAAAATAAAATTGTACTAAGTTTTTGAAGCAAATATTGTAGTTGATTTAGTATTTTTTTTCTTAAGGTTAAGAATTAATGTTTGGTTTTTGACACCAATTTCTATATTAGTCTTCTATTTACATATATTATTTATTCAAAACCTATAAATATTAATTAGTAAGTAGAAATAGTATAAAAAAGATCTTCATGTCTTTCTAATTATTTATATAGAAAATAAGATTTTTAATTTATTTATATTGATTCTATCACTAAAAAATTAAAAAAGGTAGAAACACATTTTTTAAATTAACATAATCATTATAAAATTCTATAGAAATTTTTAGAATTTATTTAGAATTTATTTTAATTTTTAAAGGATTTTCAGAGTATATTTTGAAGACATTAGTAAAAATAATTGTACTACCTTGAGAATCAATTATAAATAATTTGAGCAAGATTTGAAGGTCCTACATGGCTCTTAAGCTAATTGGATTTTTTTGAATGATTTTTAAAAGAATTCGATCTTACTTTGAAATTGTATTTAGAATCCATAAAAAATGCATAAGGTAATTAAAAATACATTCTAAGCAATCTTAAACAACTTAAGTAACTATCAAGGATATGAATCATAAAAAAATTCTAAAGAAAGAAAACATACTTATAACACTTAAAGAAAGAAAGTAGACAAATTAAAGCTATATATAAGATAGAAATTATAATGGGTGTTGTCAAATATAAAGAAACTAGAGATTCTTGAGCTAAAGACAAGAAAATAAGAAAGATAATGATAAAAGTAAAAAAGGCCTAATTCTTGCATCCATATATACTATATAACTAAAGAATTATGTGGCAACATTCTATAGGTTATTTGACATGTATCCAACTTACTAGATACGTGTCTAACTTGCAAAAAAGTTTCGAATATGTGTGCCACATAACCCACTTATACTACAAGTAGCCAACATGTGCAACACGTGTCTAACTTGTTGGCCAAATTTTCAATCTATTAATTATCTAAAAATACTTATAAAATTAATTTGTATCTATAAAGCTTCTAAAAAGCTTATTTATAAGTGTCACGGACACAAAATACAGACTTGAAATCTAACAAGAAGTTCAAGAAAAAGTGGCAGAACTAGATTAAACAGATGAATACAAGAACAACACCAGAAAGGTGAGCTAGAACTCCAAGAGATGTGTTGTCGAGACTGAAGAACTCTTCAACCTCGATCCCTATATATACTCCTACTTAGGAAGCTTCTCAAGCTACTTCTATTAACTAGGAAGCTTCTAGAAGGTTCTAGAGGCTTCCTTTCTAGAAGGTTCTAGAAACTTCTCGAGCTACTTCTATTAACTAGGAAGCTTCTAGAAAGTTCCAGGGGATTCCTTTCTAGAAGCTTCTAGAAACTTCTCTTCTAGAAGGTTCCAGAGACTTCCTTTCTAGAAGCTTCTAGAAACTTCTCTCTAAAAGGTTCCAGAGGCTTCTCTTCTAGAAGGTTCCAGAGGCTTGTTTTCTAGAAGGTTCTAGAAACTTCTCTCTAGAAAGTTCTAAGGAATATGTCCCTAACATCACCCCCTCTTTTAGCTTCGAGGTCTCTGAGAAGCAATGTTGTTGATCAGTACCAACGCAAGAAAATGAAGATCTGTCGCATAACTTCTGCTATGAACTCCAACTGTTGTTCATGAGGCAAGTGGTTCATCGACCCTTGAAGCGAATGGTAGTGGCCTACGCCTTCGACTTCTGACCAAGCATGAACTTCTGTGTCCTCATTGTGAAATTGTCCTGCAAACAAGCCTTCTGGTTGACCATCGTAAGCAGGCTCGATCTCAAATACGATCACCAATGATCGGTTACTCGGTATCCTCCGTCGTCGTCGTAGTACATGTAGTTCTTCATCTCGGGGTCGCCTTCGTGAGCTACTCGGTTACGATACTCTGACTGGCATAGTATCTATCTCTTGGCTATCCATATTAAAAGACCAAACTACGATCTATCTTGGAGAAAATAACTACATCAACTATGAATTTTACTGGTGCTCTCCCCTTTTCTTATATTGTTGGGAGAACAAGCTTCAGAAAAAAGCTATCATCGAATTGATTTAGGTTTATCGGGGTGTCGTTGATGAAACTCCTGTACCTTTTGTGGCGCATTTGCAAGATTTTTAGCTGGCTCCCACGTTCGCTCATTAATGTCATAGC